AACTCCAGATTTTGATCCTTTGCCCTTAATCTTTTGAATCATGTTCCATACCTTGGACATGGCTGTACGGGCATTGATTTCAGATACACAGTTCCTCCATGATTAACGCTTATTTTTAAAAGGTACGTCTCGCTTTGGCGCTCGTGATTTAAAAATTATTTAGGTTGTTGATGGTAGGATGTCGGTGGACACTTTTCTCAGCTTTCTTCCTTTTTTTCTATCTTGTTAACAATCATTGTCAAACCATGGTTTACATATATGAAGGTTTGCAGTGGACTTAGGAATGCCTTCGTCTCCAATAGTATTTAATTGATCAGAAAAAGTTGTATAGGATCAATAACATTCCTGAAACTGTAAAGTGAGTGAGTGAGTTTGGTTTAACGCCGCTTTTAACAGTATTCCAGTTATATCGCGGCGTGTCAGCTTAATGTGGGAGGAAAGCCCGAAGTGATGCAGACGTTTACCACTTCGGTGAAACCCACGAGCACGGGTGTGGTGCTGACAAACCTAGAAATATAATCGGGGCGAACCGGGATTCGAACCCACAATCATAGGTTTCTGGCGTGCCCAAGGGACGCAACTCTGCACAGCGGAAACTGTAAAGAGTAGTATGACCTGTATTGACGGAAATCAAATTGATCTGTGTTTTTTAGGTATGTTTCTTGGAGACAAAAAGCTGACGGTTTATAATCTTGAATTAAAAGTTGTATTTCATAAAATAAATCTTCTTAAGACCTCTGTAATTCCATTGTATTATGTTTTGTTGATTCATGGAGGTGCTTCCACAGGAGAAATGTCACGTGAACGTGAGGAAGACTTTGTGGTACTCATATTTGTTTCCTAGGAGATGGCGTTACTTCCGTGTCCAGAGAACCAAAGGAGTCATGGACCTCTACTGAGACCTCTAAAGGAGATGGGGTTTTGGTGTTGGTGCTTTTGTTTCAATAATTTTCTTTCTTTGAATTTCTGGTTCTGGTTCAATTACTAGTTTTGTGGTCTGAGACTCAACATTTTTGACAGCTTTTGGTTTTGGAGGTGTCACAGTGCCTGAACAGACTTGACCTATGTCAGATCAGTCTGGCAGTCGATAGTGGTAGTGGTTTCAGGAGAACGAGAGACTACATCAGAGTATGAAACGGTAGAGGTGGTTATAGTAAAACCTACAACCATCTTCTTAGCTTCATGGTAGGAGAGAATTTGTTCAATAATAATTTCATTATCTGTAATTCACGTTGCTACACAGGATATGTTTCAGAAGAGGTTTGAACACTTCACATCCTTCCTGCAGTCAGTGTTCTCGTGCTAGTCGCTGCAGTGGTAACAAACAGCAGAGACATGGCAGGACTTGGATCCATGTCCTAATGCTTGGCATGTGTAGCTACGATAACCAGCTTTGATAGATTGTGGAATTTTCGAACGGGGAAAGGTGAAAAGGTAGGTGTTGGTCAGTTCAAACCATCCTTCTTAACAGTAAACCGCTTCACAACTGTGACAGATTGTTGGACAAGTTCTTGGACTATTTCATCTTCAGTCATGCCAGACAGGCAGCGAACAATCCGAAGCACGGAACCCTGTGGTACGCAAGCCTTCAAGTAGCTTGAGTGGGATGTTTAGCGTTGTCTGTGATTACTTATGTAACTAGTTGTTAGTGTCGTAAAACCAGTCTAGTCACGATCTAGTGACTGCAACGCTTCCCTCTCTCTTAATTTTCCGGCTTCCGTCACCATTCGGCAAAGTCCGGAGGTCGTCGTTGTGCAGTGTCTTTACATTCATTGTTAGAGAATTGGTGACCCGTAAATCATATTCTCAAACGGGTTAATCGCATATTTTTCATTATGTATTGATTTGTAATATGTTATCTTATATATGTCTGCTACCTTATTCATGTGTGGAAAATGTTTTAGTAACTTTGTTCGCGCAGTAGCGGGATTATCTAGTACTGGTAGATATTTCTCACGTATATATGGTCATTTTTGCCACCTCATTAATTGTACATATATAGTTGTAAATCTTTAGTGGTACCGTTGGATAGGGTATGTTCACAGCGCTTAATTGTGGTACTTACATTTTCCGTATTGGTTTAGTACTAAGTTTGCTATTGGGGTTTTCCCTATGCTAGGAAACACACTTTGGTTACCTCACCGGGGTCTTGGACTCCCACGGGCTGCCCAGGACAGGTTGTTTTCTACGACGTCCGCGCACACGGGTTAAAACCATGGACGAAATCATGGCTTCCCTGGGCACTGATCCGCCTGCTCACATACACAGAGTCATTGCGAAACATAAGGGTAAGAAGCCCAAGCAACAACCCCCCCCCAAAAAAAAAATAAAATAAAAAAATTACAATTTTTTTTACAAAAACAAACGAAAAACGTAAAATGTACCTGATCAAACCAAGAGCTTACTCACTGAGTTGTACAACACGGTATGGTCCAAAGGAGAAGACCAAAAAGCATGGACACATGGTGCAAAAACACCCGAGATGAATCTTTAGCTCGAGAAAAATCCCTCACTAAAACCATCTGCGATATTAGGACGTGAACTCATCCGAAGTTAGAATTGTAATGACACTACAAAAAGTCACTACAAATGCTTAAACCCTCCCTGGACTTTAAAAAACTCTCACAGTTGACCTGCTTTAACGTCAGAAGTCACTACTTCAAACTACCTGGGACAGCTGGGCCCATATAAACACTGATGGATCCAAGAATTATTATATTACACGGCTGGTTACGGGATCCATATCCATAGCTCCAAATCCCAAACTCATTCGGTTCGCCTGCCTGATGGTCAGTCAGTATTCACTGCTGAATTGGAGGCAATTCATGATGCACTCCAACTCATACCGAAAGCCAAGGCAGTTATCCTGTCAGACTCGCTAAGTCGAATATACGAATATACAAAACTTTCGGACCAAGGGCAACAGGTTGAGCTATGTTGGATCCCGTCTGACATAGATATTCATGGAAATGAAAAAGCAGACACACTGACCAAGCTAGCTCTAGACAAAGCGGAGATACATCCTATTCCCTTTAGTAATCTAGAGATAAAAAACAAAATCAAAGACTCCATAGCCCAAAGATGAAAAGTCCAGAGGGACGCAAGTAAGATCGGCAGAGGGCTAAACAAAATGCAACCCTAGATCCATCAAAAGCCATACTTATACTCAGATGATATGAAATGAAAGTTGAAGTAGCCATCTCACGCCTCATACTCGGTCACAAAGAGGACTGTGACAAGGTATACCCATCTTGCAATCAACCTTATTCCATCGCTCACTTGTTACTGGAATGTCAAGACCATGCCCCAGTGAGAGCTCGGTTAAAACAAGAATTTCAGTTAGATCCGCTGTCTGTCGTAAATCACCTTAAGCCAAGAGAAGCTATAGCGAAGGCCAAACTAACTCTATTTCTCAGAGATGGATAGCTACTCAAAAGGCTTTTGTTTAATAATTTACGTTAAAGAAACATGCCAGCCATGCCCGGGAACATTCGTCCCACAGTCATATTTGGTGCAGGAGCAGTCATGATGTGCGGTTGCCTGTCCCATGACTGCAAGTTGGACATGCTCCTTGCGCAGAGCAATCTGATGGGTGACAGGCGCATACCTCAAATCATGGATTCCGATCGTTTAACCACGTGTTGATAACCTTCTACCTTATCCGTCTACATGGACGAGAACGCGAGACAACGCCGTTCTCGACATGTAACCGACTTTACCCAGCGGAACGCCATGACGCCCATCCCTTGGCCCACAATGGGTCCAGATCTCGCAAGATACAGAAGCTGGGCCCACCAGTACCCAGTCTACAAGAACGGACACAAACAATGCACCGAGAAGGGCAAAACCTACCACAGGAACGCATAAGACAAAATCGTTTCCAATATGTTCTAATAACACAAATGCAAAACCCGATTTAGGGATCATATGAAAGGGTGTATTGGGTCGTGATATATAATCTCGATGGGTATTAACAATTTGAACTTTATTTGACGCTTGGGGGAAATTAAACGATATCAACACTAATCCCTCTGCCACTGAAGCTGGTTAGCTGTACAAGTTTACGCTCAAGACATTACTTGTAACTAACGAACTGAAAACGTTCGAAGAATGATTTTGGATGATTAAATGAATCCCAACCTTTTGTCCTTTTAGATCAAATCAAAACACTTGAATGAGATTCTCTATATTCTTTACCCTGAAATTTCATGCGGAAATACTATTCGCCAATTTGTCCACGAAAACGTTAGAAAATGTTCAATGGAGGTTTTTAAATTACTTCTTGCAGTTATTTCTTTGAATACATTTCGTACCTCGATAGAACACATTACATAGGGACATACCTACTTCAGTAAATAAATGAATATGTGGGTAGCCCAGTTCCCTGCACAATGCCGGTACAATCTGAAGAGATGACCGACCAGATAAATCCAGTACTCACATACATTAATAAATCAGCCATATAGCAGTACCAACAAATAGTAATTATTACCTATTCAGGTATGAATAAGTATAAAGTATATTACTGATAACACTGTAACAGGGCATGACTGATTGTTATATAAGAAAAACAAACTGACATGCACAACAGACAGACAGACAGACAGACAGATATGTGTGAGTGAGTGAGTGTGTGTGTGTGTGTGTGTGTGTGTGTGTGTGTGTGTGTGTGTGTGTGTGTGTGTGTGTGTGTGTGTGTGTGTATCTATACATATACATATATACACTTTAATATTAACTTGCAACAGTAGCATTCACTTCATTCATCCTGGACCAGATACATAACAGTTTTCCATCTTTTCTCAAATGTAACCCCCTAACACGATGTGTCAGCATTAATTACAAGAATAGTTTGATACAGGCGTTCACGAGTATATATAAAACTATGTACTAAGTATATTAACTGTCTATATTAACGGTAACCCCAAGAAGTATAACACGTTTCAGAAAAATACCAAAAAACCCTTGTTCATGTTTGAAAATGTAATTCAAAGTCTTACCTTTGCATGACTACCTCACGTACTTATGGCATTCTTCTACAATGCCATCTGGCCTGGCGTCTACGTATATCCGCCAGCAGCACATGTACGCCTTAAAGATATCAGCGCTAGACTTGCCGGACGAAGCTACTCTGATGCTGGCAGTATACGTGGTGCTGTGTACACCATCTCTTACTCGTGATGTCGCTGCGTGGCACGGGGTGAGATCTAGTCGATACAATGATCACAGTGGCTACAGATCGAACATGGCAAACATATCGTTCTGGACAAAATTAAATATTCTACATACATTTAACGTCGTAGGTCATTGCAGGGTAACTTACAGAGTTATAGTTTAGTTTAAAAAAGGTTGCGCTTGTAAGTTTTCTTTAGTTGTTTCAAGGACATGCAGTGGAAATTTGCCAGCGGAGATCGATTGAGCCTATTGTTTGTGCAGATTGCCATTATCTTCTCACATTATGCATTATGAAACTACATCGGTGTACGCCAGTCAGCTTCTTGCCTCCGTCGGAGCGTACACATAAATCATTTGGTGTATTTTGACGTTCTTTGGACACACTTGACTGCCCACGTTCCAGTATGCGGTTAACCCACCGGTTGACAAACCCACTATACTGTGTACACATACTCTCTTAGGTTGGACTCTGCCTCATAAAAGTCTGTCTTAAATCGACAGAGACTAAGGATGGGTTATTGATTTTCTTCTTCATTGGCTGGAAAATATTTTAGCTATACCAAATGTCAGTGTACTGTCTCCATTTGAAGAAAATGAAATGATTTAACATGCCAGTGAGTTTTCACAGAGATGAGATATGATAGAATGCACTATGTTCTTTTCAAGAGCATGCAGGCTGATGTTATTTATAGTTAAGAGCAATACTCTTGAATAGAGCATAGCCCATCCTATCATATATCATCTCTGTGAAAATTCATTGGCATGTTAGATCGTCTCTTTCTTCATATGGACTGTCGACCTTATAGGCTTTGACAGTACAACTAAAATATACTCACACGCAAAAGAAACGCAAGTGGTTTTAAGCAAATAGGTAACAAACACGGAACCATAAATTGATACGAGTTTTTAGCATGTAGTGAAGCCTGATGGTGTTATCAATATATTTGGTTGCATTTTGAAAGCCCCGAGTAAAAACGCAACATAAAAAACGAATCGCCAAAACGCACCATTTCAATGAATATGTGGGTATCATGCACCCATTTCTCGCGAAATCGAAAATGCACGAACTGTCACGAACTGTAGTGGGTATAAAACTGTGGCCAATTCTTGGACCTACCACTCCTTGGTCAACAATGCCACACGTAACTCAAATTAAGAGAAACCAGGCTATCGGGCGTTTGGAAGCTGGAGAGTCTATCCACGATGTTGCCCTTCATTTCAATGTTAACATAACCACAATTTACCGTCTCCTGCATCGATACAATGCTACACAGACCACAGATGACCTTCCTCGGAGCGGTCATCCTAGGGTCACCACACCTCGACAAGATCGGCAGATTACCCGTCAACACCAGCGACATCCGTTCCTAACTGCAAGTAAAAGTGCTCGACAGACCATAGGAACACATAATCGACACATTAGCCGGGACACTGTGATCCGACGTCTCCGTTCCAACAACCTCAGATGTCGCCGACCAGTACGTCGTCCTGTTCTCCAACCACGGCATCGACAAGTACGACTTCAGTGGGCACAGGGTCATCACAATTGGCGTCATCGTGAGTGGAGGCGTGTCATCTTCTCTGATGAAAGTCGCTTTTGTGTCTCCCATGCAGACGGAAGAGTCAGAATTTGGCGGCGTCGAGGTGATCGTTTCGCTGACAGAAACGTTGTGGAAAGGGATCCATGGGGTGGACCTAGCGTCATGATATCGGCAGGGATTGGACTTAATGCGAGACTTGGACCCATGTGCTTTCTGAATGTTGGTCAAGGTCGGACATACTGGCGTCACTGCTCAGCGGTATATCGACGAAGTGATCAGACCCCACGTTGTTCCATTTTTTGCACAACATCAACAACACATTTTCCAGCAGGACAACCCTTGTCCCCATGTTGCCAGAGCTACAATGGCCTTTCTCTAACAACACAACATCCGTGTTCTACCGTGGCCAGCCCTCAGCCCTGATCTGAACCCCATCGAACACTTGTGGGATGAGGTTCAAAGGCGTCTGCAAAATGTGCGCCAAGTCCCTACAACTGCCGATGAACTACGTACAGCTGCTCTGGATGTGTGCATGAGGATCCCTAGGGCCTTCACAAATCGTCTGATCCATTCAATGTACAGGAGATGTGTGGCAGTGATCAATGCTAATGGTGGTCACAGGTATTGACTGACATTTTGGGTATTGACCCGAAACTGTGTAAGCCCTTAACATTTGAAAAAACCCATGTATACTGCATACTCGACTTGCGTTTCTTTTGCGTGTGAGTATACATATATATCTGGGCAAGCTCACAAGAATGGTGAGAATAATGATGACTTACAAACTTTCCTTCTTGCTGCGTAGCAGTTGAAAATGCATAACCCAGTGTATGGCTCGTTAATGGCAGGTACAGTTCATCCAATTTATGTTATTTTTTTACTACTGCGCAGGGAGCCACCTAGAACACAACGTCCGACCTATACATAATACAAAATTAAAGGCCACTTACGCTTCCTGTTTACCCGATATCCCGGGAAACGGTTAACGAAGATTTATAATGTGCAGTCCCTGGAGATGTGTGATATGTTACAGAGTAAGGGAAATATTTTATCAACATTTGAAAACACATGTGAAATGATTTATACGTTCTACAATTTCGAGTGCAGGGACGTTGTTGGCTAACCGCGTTCATGTAATACATGACAACAACTATATATCTATCAGGTTGGCTAACTGTGTACCTGTAGTGACTGACAACAACTATATATCTATCAGGTTGGCTAACTGTGTACCTGTAGTGACTGACAACAACTATGTATCTATCAGGTTGGCTAACTGTGTACCTGTAGTGACTGACAGCAACTATGTATCTATCAGGTTGGCTAACTGTGTACCTGTAGTGACTGACAACAACTATATATCTATCAGGTTGGCTAACTGTGGACCTGTAGTGACTGACAACAACTATATATCTATCAGGTTGGCTAACTGTGTACCTGTAGTGACTGACAACAACTATGTATCTATCAGGTTGGCTAACTGTGTACCTGTAGTGACTGACAACAACTATATATCTATCAGGTTGGCTAACTGTGTACCTGTAGTGACTGACAACAAGTTAGTGTCTGTAAGGTTTTCTAACTTGTCTGGTTTGCCTGTCTAACCTAATAGCCCTGTTTCCAGTAGATCAACTACTTGATGCTATTTTATTAAATTGTCATCGCATGCTAGTGGTATCCCATATCCTGCCTTTGAAATGCGCTGATAATGAGAGATGACACACACGCCAAGTTTGTTGCTAGTTTTCTGAAACCTTCCGGCCATGCAGGAGGATCAGGAGATAAGCAGGTCAGATGTACAATCGTTGGATGGCTCCTGCCTGAAGCATACCCGGTCTATTAGGTTCATGATCCGGCCAACTAGTCTGGCCGTCCGGCAGTTAACAGCCGTAATTATATGTTCGTTATTATTTATCAGGCAAGGGATCTCAACACTGTTGTCATGGCAATAACGTGTTTAAGAGGGCAATTAACCTACCTTCGTTGTAAATAAATGACAAATAATAATGGGTTCGGTTTATTTCTGTTTTATTTCTTGTGCATATGAAATGACACAGTTTATTCAGTGAAATGGCAATAGGCACAGACATTGTTTAGTTGCATGAAACACGCAGTAACCGCTGTATAAAATAGTTCAGCACTGATGTAAAAGTTGGGAGATGTACTGTATAAAGGACCAACCGTTGGGAGGTGTACTAGATATAGGATCATCCAATCGGAGGTGTACTGTATAAAAAGCTGACAGTTGGAAGGTGTACTGTATATAGGACCGTCAGTTTGGAGGTGTACTGTATATAGAACCGGCACTTGGGAGGTGTACTGTAAATAGGACCGACAGTTAGGAGGTGTACTGTATATAGGACCAAGAGTTGGGAGGTGTACTGTATATATGAAGAACAGTTGGAAGGTGTACTGTATATATGAACGACAGTTAGGAATTGTACTGTATATAGGACCGACAGTTGGGAGGTGTACTGTATATAGGACCAACAGTTGGAAGGTGTACTGTATATAGGACCGACAGTTGGGAGGTGTACTGTATATAGGACCGGCAGTTGGGAGGTGTACTGTATATAGGACCAACAGTTGGGAGGTGTACTGTATATAGGACCAACAGTTGGGAGGTGTACTGTATATAGGACCAACAGGTGGAAGGTGTAATGTATATAGGACCAACAGTTGGAAGGTGTAATGTATATAGGACCAACAGTTGGGAGGTGTACTGTATATAGGACCAACAGTTGGGAGGTGTACTGTATATAGGACCAAGAGTTGGGAGGTGTACTGTATATATGAAGAACAGTTGGAAGGTGTACTGTATATAGGACCGACAGTTGGGGGAAGTACTGTATATATGACCGACTGTTGGGAGGTGTAGTGTATATAGGACCCACAGGTGGGAGGTGTACTGTATATATGAAGAACAGATGGAAGGTGTACTGTATATAGGACCGGCAGTTGGGAGGTGTACTGTATATAGGACCAACAGTTGGGGGAAGTACTGTATATATGACCGACAGTTGAAAGGTGTACTGTATATAGGACCCACAGGTGGGAGGTTTACTGTATAAAGGACCAAGAGTTGGGAGGTGTACTGTATATATGAAGAACAGATTGAAGGTGTACTGTATATAGGACCCACAGTTGGAAGGTGTACTGTATATAGGACCAAGTGTTGGGAGGTGTACTGTATATATGAAGAACAGATGGAAGGTGTACTGTATATATGAACGACAGTTGGGATTTGTACTGTATATATGACCGACAGTTGGAAGGTGTACTGTATATAGGACCCACAGGTGGGAGGTGTACTGTATATATGAAGAACAGATGGAAGGTGTACTGTATATAGGACCGGCAGTTGGGAGGTGTACTGTATATAGGACCAACAGTTGGGGGAAGTACTGTATATATGACCGACAGTTGAAAGGTGTACTGTATATAGGACCAACAGTTGGAAGGTGTACTGTATATATGAACAACAGTTGGAAGGTGTACTGTATATATGAACAACAGTTGGAAGGTATACTGTATATA